CATGCTCGACTTGCAGCGATGAAGAGGAAGGCTAGTGCTAGCTTTTTAATTCACCGTTTCGTGAAGAGCAATTCCTTTCTTTTTAGTCACTTTCGATTGTGTTCATCCTTTTCGATTCTTTTTTTTTTCTTTATCTTATTAGTGTGAGGAGAGAGGAGAGGTTGTTGGATTCTGAGGCAGTAGGTTTGCTAAGAACAGGTGACGTCCAATACTGTTAGTTGTGATTTTCACATAAGGCTTTCCACGAACTTCGGCGCAACTGCTGTATTATAGAGTTGTTCTCTTGAAATCTTCATACGGTTTTCATATGGGCTTCATTAGGCCAACCTTTTGGTAAGATCGCCTTTTTCAGACTTTGAAGGGATCGTGACAATTTGTGACTACCCGACCAGACATCTCTATTGGAGTACAAGAACCGTGAAGTCTTCGAAACCGCTCAGCTGAGACCTTTCCATGGTCTTTTATCCCGTGGTGATATCTCAAACTCAGCTGTGTTGTGGCTGTGAGCTTTATGACTGTTCTTCACTTTGATGGATGGTCCCAAATTGTGATTCTTTCAAACTCTGAAAAAGGCGACCACGTCGAAAGGTCAGACCAATGAAGGTGACCGTGTACAAACCTCGTGAAGAGAACAAGAAAATAACTGCAAAATACAGCAGTTGTCCTCTTCAATTGATGCCTAGGAGGAGGTACTCCCAGGACCATGTTTCTTGTGGAGAAGTTCAAGAGCCCAAACACTTTACCATGGGCCTTGATTGAGGATAAACTTTTCTGCGATTATTAGCCCGTTTTGTTTTAGATCCATTCACGCATTCCGTTCAGAGTCATAGAGACTCCTGAGTGCAGGTTCGGCTCATACAGTGACTTGCGGAGACATAAACTGCGCGTGATTTCATCTCCGGAATTTCAGATTTTACCCACATTCCCCCCCCCCCCCCCCCCCCCCCCCCCCCCCCCCCCTCTCCCCTCCACACTCCACGCTCACCAGCTCCTTTAATCACCTGCGGCTCATGCGCTAGTATCGTTTCATCGCATTTCAGGTTGACAAATACGAACCTCTTCTTGACATCGAGTGTGGCGAAGTTAGAGAAGATGCAGAACTTGCCGCTAGTGCGGATCGACCTTACGAAATATGGCTGGACACGGAAGGCACGAACATTGAAGCCGACAACGACGTTAACGTTTTCCGGTCATTTCTTGATCAACAACCAAGCAAGGTAATTCACGTTTTACTCTTTTTGTTTGGATGGTTTCACTCTCCCGATCATTTCTAAAAAGTATAGAACGCGGTATTTCTAATTTTATTTTTGAATTTTAATTTTATTTTGAATCACATCTAAACTTTCTGATCTTGTATGTTTAATTTATACTTCAGTTACATCGGCGAGCTATTTCATATGTGATCAACACTGTTGGCTTACTGATCACGAAAATCGGAATGGAGACATTTCCAAGGTAATATCATAGAGCACCCTATTTCAATCCGTAGCCTTAAACCACGATGGCTGGTGCTCAAAACCTTCTGCTAGTTTTTTTAGTTGTTACAAGATGCCGAATTTAAGTTGAACGGAAGTGCAGTTCGTAACTTGAACTACACCACAGTACTTAACCTTTCTTGTGTTCAGTGTTTCGGACCGAGCTATCGCACAATTGGCTGCTTTGGTGGAGCAGGAAGACTCGCCGGTTACAGCTCAACAACTTGTTCAAATCGCGGCTTTGTTCATCTATGCAGTACACTGTAATGGAATTGCTGGTGAGTTTTGTTGGCTTCTAATTGCTCTCCAGTGTACCTGACCTTGATCAATTATTCTTTTACTAGAAGTTCCTTGGAAGAATGTTCCCTTGAAGATGAGTTTCAATAACCAGATCGATGTGTTATTGACATTTGACACACCAATTTTGCCAGAGTCATTCCTAATTTCTTTCAAAAACTATCTTTTATTTGTAGTAAGCCTTAATTTCGTTTTCGCCATCGGAGATGGACGTTATTCTATTTTTACATCAAACTTTTTTTTTTGCTGTACTCATTTGTAACACAAGCAGATTTTACCAACAGTTCCAGGAGATGAGGACGTGTGCAGCGTTCAGCAACAACAAGCAGTGCGTGCTCTTGTCAGTGTGTTTGGTGTATTTTTACGGCCAATAGCTTTGCGAATTGGTGAAGTTCATTCGTGGACTAAGGGCTCATCAGAGGTGCCAAAAGTGGTATGTTTTTGACATCCATTCCGATCCTTATTTACTTTTGAAGTGGTATATGATTGTGGCTTTTTTATTTTTGTTTTGATGATTTCGATTGAATGTTTGAAACGTAATTGCAATCAATTTCTGCATATTTATTTTGTGTTGTGATTATTACGGAAGTTCCAACTTCAAAGAATTGATTGTTGTAGTAAAGAAGGGTGGTANCATAATTTGAACACTTTGATTGAGCTTAAAAAAAACTTCCATGAATTTATAGTGTCCTCTTCGTTATAAGTAAAGGTAGATTCAGGTGACGCGTGTCTTGCCAGCTGTTTGTGTGCTTTGCGAATGGTTCTCATGCCCATTGGCGTCGGCAATCTATCGGACCATGCCATCAGTTGAGCCGTTGCCGACGTCCATAGTCGACATCGATACCTGGCACCTACTTGCAAACATCGCCAATGAACTGGCTCGGTTGCAGGACGGCGGCGAAATGGTGAAGATAGAAACCAGCGCAGGTATGTTTGAGAACAAGAATTACCGTAGAAAAATTTCCTTCTGTAAAGGATGCCATAGAAAAAATAACTCAAGTGTTAGTGTTTAACTATACGATTTCTAATATATTCAAGCTTCCGCCAAAACTTGCATTCTGCCTGAATTGGCGTATTTGTCGTCGTTCTCGAATGTGTTCCCGTCATTTCCTCGTGTACTCCGCTTTGTCGATGCAACCACCGAGACCCCAGATACGGTAAATAGTGTTTTTTTATGTCTTTTACTCCCTTCATTTAGTTGACTACAAAGTATCACTCTGAGCGGAATGACCAATTTTTCAGTTGATACCCCTCCAAATACGTCTGGCGCAACTTTTGTTGGCCGCTGAGTACCTGGATGGCTCAGACCTATCATGTTTCTTCTTCTGTGAGAAAACTGGACGATTCAGAAGGAGTGA